TTTTTCATTGAGCTTTCTTCTATCTGGTGCATTTTACCTCGGTAGACCATGGTTCGGTGTCATAAGATGGGTCATTTGAATCGATCACCTTACTAATTAAGATTTCATATCTGTCAGGTTCATCGAAGCGTTCAAAAGTACTCAAAAAAAAGTCAGCTGACTTCCACCACTGTGGGTAGTACACCACCTGTACACTGTGATTAGCCTCGTTGACGAGAGGTGCCACGGCTCTCACGATAGTGGTACACACTGTGTCTCGGCGGTCACGTTCCTCCCTTAACATGGGAACGACAGATGAGGAGTTTGGAAGAATATACCGTTGGGACGTGTGTATGGAGAGCCCTTGGTAACGAATAACAACTGATCGGACTCAGTTGTGTTTGCCTGAGGACGCTATCCAGCGGATAGCAGGCTAATCACAAAGTTAACGCGGTTGGAACACATCCACAACATGTCACAAGTTTGACGAAGGATTCAGTCTAGACAACCCGACAGTCCTATTAACCGACTGTGTTTATGTGCCCTGATTGACTGAGGCGTCATCGATGAGCTTGGAATGTGGAAACAATGTGCACAAGAAAAGGCCGAACTCGAGAAATCGGATACTAGCGTATTTCTTCAGCTTTTCGTGAAAATTCGTCACTATCAATAGGGCCCCGCGCTTTTTGCGTGGCGTCGAAGTTCTTAGAAAATGGAAGCTGACAGAAAAATCTGATTTTGTGGAAAAAAACACGAATCACTGAATTTTCAAAGATAACGGAGTTATTGGTCGATTGTGCAGTTATTTTTCGTCAATCCGCAAAGACGAAATGAATGCAGTCCGAACAAAACTAACCACATCGAACGGTGATTTTCATACGCCATTCACACCTGCTATTTTGTTGATTAGTTATGTGTTTTCCGCGGATACTAGCCAGCCTTTCATCTTGAATGTGCCGTCGATGCCACAGAAAACCTGCCACTGTCCTCACACTAAACTCACAAGGATTAAGCAAGAGAATGAGTTGACTGACTAGGTCGATGGCTGGAACAGCGACTCAGTGTAACCGTTCTGGTTGAGTCGATCGATTGACCCGCCTGTGGGGGCTTCGCGGTCAAGTAGCACAGTGAACAATTGAGATCTGGTTGACTGGTTTTGAATAGTTATGAATAGTTGTGGTATTTCGTAGAAATTGTATTCATCCCGTTTGAACAGTCTTCCTCTCATGTGAGAACAAGTACTCTGATTAGTTTTGCATTCGAGTTCTAGCAGGAAATAACCCAGGACCCCCGCGGGACATACTGAGAGCCTAAAGCTCCACCAAGATGTCAGTAGGAAGGCCGGCAAGCATCCAGGCCAATCAAGCATTCAATCAGTTCAGCAACAGCTTGGATCGATGAAAGTAAAATTCAAATAGTGTTGAACTCGCACGTACTCGTTTGTTCGCAATAAAGCTATTGTGTTCCTGATCGATGAATCTTTTTCCAGCACTAGATACTGGGGCGGGAACAGTAGTCAGATGCAACAAGTTTCGTTCTTAGTGAGATATATCAGGGGTGCCTTACTTTGGTTTTGGCAGTATTGGAACTCTTGATATGCTAGGCTAACAATGCACCACCGACACAACCTGAAGGCACCTGAACTATCGCGTCCGAAGACGCCAATGTGTTCGCGCTTGGAGGATATAGTGGCTGAGGGGTGAGTCAGTCAGTTAGTGGGCCGGGTCCCCGTTCGTAGGCCACTCATTTGCAAACTAACTTGGTTTTTCGAGTGACTCACCTGGAACCCAGCTGAATCTCTCGTTTGTGATGTTCTCAGGCAACTGAATGTGCTGCACCAGGCCGCCTCATGTTTCAGTCGCTACGATATTCGAGATATCGCGATA